TCTCTTGCTTCACTTTTGTAGCTGGGACTGCAGGTGCCTGGCTACTTTTAGAGATGAAGTCTCTCTCTGGCTCAGGTTGGTCTCGATCCTGTGAGCTCAGGCAATCCACCGCCTCTGCCTCCCAGAGTGCTAGGATTATATGCATGAGCCACCACACCTGGCCCTGGGATATTCTTTTCTAACTTTCAATTTAACATTCACAAGTTAGTCCCTTCTTGTTTTGACCCAAAGTCATTATTTACTGGTGAAATAATTTCTTCCCCAACTGTACTTGACTTCTACTCCATTAGGCTACTAATGCTACGTTGCTGAATTTTAATAAGAATCTTTGAGTAGTTAGTGATGTGACAACTGGAAGTATGCCTTGCTCTTTTGACTGTCAGGGATGCCGTTTAGGGCCCATCTACTTTTTCCAACATTGTAGAACATCAGCAGTGTACAGAGCAAAATCATGATATGTTTTTATCTGGTAAGAGCACACAGGCACTAGGGGAGCAGATAAGCACTAGGGAGAAAATCCAATCACAGATGAGTATGTTCAGCTGCACTCAGGGCTCCAAAGAACTCAAAACACTACCAGAACAAGCTAATGGAGGCAACGTATTCCTTTAAAGGGTTAACCTACCAGTGAAGCGACTTAAGCATAGAAGGATATTTTAATGTTATTTTTCACACACACCACTTATAACTTACTTTCTTTGAGAGCTCTACTCAATTGTTCCATCTTTTCTTTGGCTGTTTTAAGAAGGCGTTGTTCTAACTAAAGGAATAGAAATAAATAATGTAAACCATTCTCTTTATTCAGAACAGTGTAATTCAGCTCTCTGAAGTGATTTGGTACATACCTGATAACTATGCTCATGGTTTTTAAATCTTGTGTAATAGTGCATAAATCTGTCAAGTTCTTGAAATCGTTTGTGTTTTTTCTCAGCCTAGGAAGCAAAAGCCTATAAATTATTTTATTTCATAGAAACTATTAAAGTTGTTGTTTTGGGGGAGAATCATTGGAAAATTTTATTATTAATAGGTAACACTGCACTCAGATTTATTGATTATTTTATTGAGAGACAATAATAACCAATACATTTCAAAGCCTCCCAGAACAATCTTGTATTTGTATTCTTTATGATAAACCACTAAATCCATACTCCCAGAGTAAAAGCAAACAGATCTTCAGTGTTTTACTACATAGCTAACTGTAATGGAATGAAGTGGGTCCCCAGCAAATTTGTATGTTGAAGCTCTAATCTCCAATGTGACTGGAGACAGGGCCTGCGAAGAAGTGATAAAGAGTAAATAAGGTCATAAGGGTGACGCTCTATGACGCTCTACTTCCGATAGGGCTGGTGCTCTTACGAGAAGGGGAAAGGACACCAGGGGTCTCTCTCTCTTTCTTGGCCATGTAAGGAGAGAAGACACAAGGAGAAGGTGACCATCTGCAATCCAAGTGCATCAAGAATCAAATTAGCTAACACCTTGATCTGGGATTTCACAGCCTCTAGAACTACAAGAAATAAATTTCTGTTGTTCAAGCCACCTAGTCTATGGTATATTGTTATTGCAGTTGAGCAAACCAAGACACTTACTGTATACTGTATTGCTGGTATTATATTAAAATTGGTTTTAAGTCTTTACAGAAGCAGCCTCGGTGGGATATATCAAACTTTTTGTATTTTCACCAGAATTAAAGAAAAAAAAACTTAAAGGAAAGAAGCTCTCAAGATTATAGAGCTGTTTTGTTTAAATTAAAGGTAAGTATATTTAATTTAATGCTTCATTAAGATGAAGATATAGAAAAAGAAGAGACTTGAAATACTGTCAACAGCATTATGTGGCTTGGAGTGAGGCTTTGGCGTCATCAGTTCTCTTTACCTCCACGGTCATTTCCTTGGACTGCTCTTCCACATGCTGAATGACTTCATAGCGAGTACATCTGTAATAACCTCCAGTGGAAGAACTATGTTTTTTCCATTCTTCCAGGCAAATCCAGCAAAAGTCATATTTGCACTTCAAAAGAAAACATACACATAAACATTTCCTCATGTTAACATACAAATTATTATATGCTTTATAGCCAACAAATTTGTAATGATTAAGTAATCCTGCTGTGAAACCAGGAACAAATCTTCTCAAAGACATACCCTCTTTCTCATATTTCATCTGGAGACCTTATCTGCATTGAAAAGATGTGGGAATAGTTTAAAATTATTGCTTATCAGGATAAATTAACTGCAAATCACAATATTATGAAGTCTTCACAAGGAATCATTAAAAACACTAATAAGGAATTCTTTCCAAATAATAAGAACAAACACAAATATTTCATTTTTAGGTATGTGATAATCTGACTTTGGTCTATAAAAGCCCTACCAGTCTATCTAAAAAATTTCTAGTAACTTTGACAAACTGATTTGGAAACTGGAAGTTTAAAAGATCTCTAAGTACAATAGCCATTTCTCATTTAATGAAAATTTAACTTAATCACCACAATAATTATATAATGCCCCAAATATAAGCATTCTAGTATGAAAATACATCCTTTTGGGCAGCGCCTGTGGCTCAAAGGGGTAGGATGCTGGTCCCATATGCCAGAGGTAGCAGGTTCAAACCCAGCCCTGGCCAAAAAAAAAAAACAAAAACCCAACAAAACCAACAAACAAAAAACCTGCAAAAAAAAATAAATAAATAAAGCTAACTGCTTAAAAAAAAAGAAAAGAAAATACATCCTATGATGTTGTCTGGTACTATTGTGATTTAATTATTTTTCTCTACATAGCTGCTCAGTTGTTCTAATACCATTTATTGAATAGCTTCTCTACTGGTTGAAGATGCTATCTTTACCATATGTTAATTCCCATGTATCTGTGTCTATTTTCTAGGTTTCCTTTTTATTCTGTTTCACTGATCCATCTTTACATGTGCTAGCACCATACTGTATAATTACTGAGACTTTATATTATGGCTTACTGTGTGACAAGGCTAGCTCTCCCTTACTGTTCTTATTCAGAATTTTATTAAATCATTCTTGCTTTGTTTTCCCATTTGAACTTTTGAATTAGTTTACCTAGATGCAGAAACAAAATCTGTTCATAGATTTGTTGGCATCTCTCTATATGAGAACTTAGTTGTCTTTCTATTCATTTGTCATATTTATGTTTTACAGAGGTTTTAAATTTTAATATACTGATGTTTTTCAGTATATATTCTATCTGGTTGTTGCTGGTAAACATGAAGGCTCCTATTTTCTGCACAGTACTATAATTTTGTATTTTGCTACGTGACTTTTTGCTGTTTCAGTAGTTTTTCAGTTGGTTCTTGTGGATTTTCTAGGTATACAATGATGTCAACTATAAAATGTGATAATTATCACTTTAGTCCTAATTTGTATATCTCTAATTTCTTTCAACATGTCTAATCATGTTGACTGGTATCTTCAATTCAACGTTAGTAATATTGATTATGGAAAGCATACTCATCTTGTTTTTCAGTTTAATGAGAGTACCTTTAGTATCCCTACTAAGGATGCTAGCTTTTAGACCAAGTTAATTTATTTTTATCATACTAAGGAAGAATCCATTCTATCTTTGGCTGTTTTGTAAAGAATGGTTGTTGATTTTTATGTCAAAAGCCTTTTAGCATCTGTAGGTAATATATAATTTTTCTCCCAAGATCAGGTTTTCTGATATTGAATTATTCTTGTACAGAGTTAGCTCTTTAATCTGAAAATCAAAAGCCACAAATGCTTCAAAACTCAAAACTTGGCGGGTGCTGACATGGATTTAGAATTTTTGAATTAGAAATGCTCAATGAGTCTAATGCAAACATTCCAAAATTCAAACAAATCTGAAATACTTCTGGCTCCCAGGAATTTCAAATAAGAAATGGTCAACCTATATTCTTGAAATAAATTCTACTTGGCTAATTGCTCTTTTTTTTTTTTTTTTGAGACAGAGCCTCAAGCTGTCCCCCTGGGTAGAGTGCTGTGGCATTACAGCTCACAGCAACCTCCAACTCCCGGGCTCAAGCGAGTCTCCTGCCTCCGCCTGCCAAGTAGCTGGAACCACAGGCGCCAGCCACAACGCCTGGCTATTTTTTTTTTTTTGTAGCAGCCGTCATTGTTGTTTGGCGGGTCCAGGCTGGGGATTCGAACCCACCACCTTAGGTGTACGTGGCTGGCGCCTTAGCCGGTTGAGCTATAGATGCCGAGCCGCTAATTGCTCTTGAATGTGCTCTGCTGTATTATGTGTACTAATATTACTGCTTTTTTTTCAACTGTAATATCTTAAGAACTTAGGACTTCTGCATTGTTACATATAAGTAAGATTAACCTATAGCTTGATTTTAATTTATATATTCTTGTCAAATTGGTTTTAAGATTTCATTCACATTATGAAAATAATCTGAAAGTTTTCAAAAAAAAGTTTGAAAACTTCTTTAATTTATAAGAACATATAAATAACATTGAAATTACCTGCTTCTTGAAAGTTAGAAAAAATTCTATTGTGATGCTTTAAAGATTAGTTTAGTGGGGAAGATGCTTGAAAAACTCTTTTTTTCTTATATGAGAATAGGTTTATTTGGATATTCTATCTCTTCTACAGTCAATTTTAATAAATTATATTGTCTTAGAAGATCAATTAAAATCCAAGTGCAAATTATCTTGAAAAGTTGTGCAAAGTTAGTCCTTATTATTTTAGTTTGCTTTTTTTCTCTGATAGGTATACCTTTTATTGCACATTACTTTCTTGTGCTTTGTAGACACCAAGGTTTTGTTTTACAAATTGAAGATTTGTGACAAACCTGTGTTGGGCAAGCCTGTTGGTTATTTTCCTAAAAGTATGTACTCACTTTATCTTTTATTTTTATTTCAGAGTATTATGTGGGTACAAATGATTAGGTTATACTGTTTGCATTTGTTAAGTAAAATCCAAATTGTAGTTGAGCCCTTCAACCCAGGAGGTGTGCCATATACCCCTCCACAGTACATGTTAGGTGAGAGCTAAAAACAATGGTCAGATGCCACGAAGTAAGTGGCAATGCCTTAATTGTATGTGGATGTCAAGTTCAAAGGCCTCTTCCATCCTTGTCAAGGGGAATGCTAATCTTTTCCTTTCTTACAATACCAGTATGTGTTCACTTTGTGTCTCTGTATCACATTTTGGCACTTCTAACAATATGTCAAACTTTCTCATTACTACTATATCTGTTATGGTGATCTGGAGTCAGTGATCTTACTATCCTACTTGTTTGGGGATGCCATAAACAATTTCCACATAAGACAGTGAGCTTCATCAATAAATGTGTGTGCCCTGTTTATTCCACTGACTGGCCACTTCCCTGGCTCTCTCCCTCTCCTTGGGCTTCCATATTCCAAGATACAACAATATTGAAATTAGGCCAGTTAACAACTCTACAATGGCCTCTAAGTGTCTAATTGAAAGGAAGAGTCATAGATCTCTCATTTTCAATCAAAAAGCTTAGTGAAAGAAAGGGATGTTGAAAGCAGAGACAGGCTGAAAACTAGGCCTCTTGTGCCAAACAGCCAAGTTGTGAATGCAAAGGAAACATTCTTGAAGGAAATTAAAAGTACAACTCCAGTGAATACACAAACTATAAGAAAATAAAATCACCTTAGTACTAATTTGAAGAACGTTTTAGTGGTCTGGAGAGACTACAGAATCAGCCATAACATTCCTTTAAGCCTAACATTCTTCATATTCTACGAAGGCTGTGAGAGGTAAGAAAGCTGCAGAAGAAAGGTTTGAAGCTAGCAGAGGCTGGTTCATGAAGTTTAAGGAAAGAAGCCATCTCTGTAATACAAAAACACCAGGCGAAGCAACAAATGCTGATGTAGAAGCTGCAGCAAATTAATTGTATCTAGCTGATAGATTACTGATGAAGGTGGTGACACAAAACAAAGGATTTTCAATGTAGACGAAATGTCTCCTACTAGAAGATGCCATTCAAGGTTATAGGCCGGACTCTCTTGGTTGGGGCTAACACAGCTGGCAACTATTAAGTTGAAACCAATACTCATTTACCATTTTGAAAATTCTAGCCCCCTAAGAAATATGCTAATTCTACTCTGTGATCTATCAATGGAACAATAAAGCTTGTATGACAATACATCTATTTACAGTATTTTTTTTTTTTTTGAGACCGAGCCTCAAGCTATCCCCCTGGGTAGAGTACTGTGCCATCACAGCTCACAGCAACCTCCAACTCCTGGGCTCAAGCGAGTCTCCTGCCTCAGCCTCCCAAGTAGTTGGGACCACAGGCATCCGCCACAACACCAGGCTATTTTTTGGTTGCAGCCGTCATTGTTGTTTTGGCGGGCCTGGGCTGGATTCAAACCCACCACCTTAGGTGTATGTGGCTGGCGCCTTACCTACTTGAGCTACAGGCACCGAGCCTATTTACAACATTTTTTGCTAAAGATTTTAAGCCCACTGTCAAGATCTAGTGCTCAAAAAGATTCCTTTCAAAGTGTTACTGCTCACTGACAATGTACCTGGTTATTCAAGACTTCTGATAGAGATACACAAGGAGATTAACGTTGTTAACACGCCTGCTTACATAACATCCATTCTGCAGCCCACAGATCAAGGAGTCATTGCTATTTTCAAGTTTTATTATTTAGAAATACATTTCATAAGGCTCTAGCTGCCTTAGTGGTTTCTCTGATGGATCTGGAAAAAGTAAATTAAAAACCATCTGGAAAAGATTCACCATCAAGATGCATTTAAGGCTTGGTGCCTGTGGCTTAAGCGGCTAAGGCATCAGCCACATACAACTGAACTGGCAGGTTTGAATCCAGCCCGGGCCACCAAACAACAATGATGGCTGCAACCAAAAAACAGCCAGGCATTGTGGCGGGTGCCTGTAGTCCCAGCCACTTAGGAGGTGGAGGCAGGAGACTTGCTTGAGCCTAGGAGCTGAAGGTTGCTATGAACTATGATGCTACAGCACTCTACCCAAGGTGATAGCTTGAGGCTCTGTCTCAAAAAAAGAAAAAGCATTTAAGAAAGAACATTTGTAATTTATGAGGGGAAGTCAAAATATCAACATTATCAGGAGTTTAGAAGAAGCTGATTCTAATCATGGAAGACTTTGAGGGGTTCGAGACTTCAGTGGAGAAAGTCATTGCACATATGGTGGGAAGAGCAGAAGAACCAGAATTAGAATATATTCTGAAGATGTGACTGAATTGCAGCAATCTCAGGATCAAACTTGAATGGCTGTGGAGTCACTTCTTAAGAATAAGCAAAGAATATGGTTTCTTGAGATGGAATCTGCTCTTAGTGAAGATGCTGTAAACGTTGAAATAACAACAAAGAATTTATTACATAAACACTAATAAAGTGGCAGAGTTTCAGAAGACTGACTCCAATTTTGAAAGAAATTTTACTGTAAAATGCTATCAAACAATATTTGCACACTACAGAGAAATCTTTCTTGAAAGGAAGGATGAATTCTTGCCACTATAGTTGACATTCACTGTTTTCTTATTTTAAGAATTGCCACAGCCACTCCCAATCTTCAGCAAACCAGCACCCTTACTGGTCAGCAGCCACCAATACTCATGTGAAGATTCTCCACTAGCAAAGTCATTACTACTTGAAGGCTCAGATGACTGTTAGCATTTTTAGCAATGAAGTTTTCCAAATTAAAGTATGTACATTTTTCAAAAGTGATGTTATTTCACTTAACAGACTACAGTGTGGTGTAAATATAACATTTACATGTACTGAGAAACCAAAAAAATGTGTGACTCACGCTATTGTAATACTTGCTGTGTTGTGATATTTGGTTTACTGCAGTGGTACAGAAACATCCCTGCCTGTATTTCATTTATTCCTTATACTCTGTATTTTAACTTCCTAACCTTTCTTTCTTTTTTATTATGTTAGTTTGTGGTTTATCTATCTTGTTTTTCCTCAGAAAACAATTTTTTGGATTTATTAGTTGCATTATTTTTCAGTTTTTAACTCACTGATTTCTGCTTTACAGATAAACCACCAGTTTCCTTCTTGTTTTCAAGTTTGTTTTCCTAACTTTGAGTTATATCCTTAAATTCATTTCTTATTTCGTATTGTTTTAAGGGAATAAGACTGCAAATTTTTGAGCACTGCTTTAGAAAGGACCTCAAATACGATAAAGTAAGTCCATTATCCTTCTTTTTTTTTTTTTTTGAGACAGAGCCTGTGGCATTACAGCTCACAGCAACCTCCAACTCCAGGGCTCAGGCGAGTCTCCTGCCTCAGCCTCCCAAGTAGCTAGGACCACAGGCGCCCGCCACAACGCCCAGCTATTTTTTGGTTGGAGCCATTATTGTTGTTTGGCGGGTTTGGGCTGGATTCAAACCCACCACCTTAGGTGTATGTCGCTGGCGCCTTAACTGCTTGAGCCACAGGCGCTGAGCCCATTATCCTTATTTTCTAGAAATTTTTTTTTTTTTTGCGGTTTTTGGCCGGGGCCAGGTTTGAACCTGCCACTTCTGGTATGTGGGGCTGGCGCCCTACTCCTTTGAGCCACAGGTGCCACCCTAGAAATTCTTTAATTTCCATTTTTGCTTCCTTTTTTACTCCAGAGTTGTTTGAGAGAGTAACAATTTCCATGTAAGATCTTTTTATTATTAATGTATATTTTGTTCTCTTATGATGAGAAAATATTGTTTGCATAATTTTCTATTTTCTAGAATGTTATCAAGGTTTTGCTAATCAACGGTCAATTTTTTGTGACTGCTCCGTGGGCACTTAAAAAGATGGCACAGTCCACATTTTTGGATACAGAGTTTGTATACATAGCAAACAGATATACCTTAGTAATTATGGTATTTAAGTCTTCTATATTTTTATTGATTTGTTTGCCTGGTATATCACTGACAGAAAAATTAATAAAATTTCTGTTTGCATGTGCTCCCTTCACAACATATACTTGGACAATAAACTGTGTACTTGGTTTAGGCTCTGACAGTATTAAATTATTTCTCTGCTTGGTGTAAGCAAACTTTGTACCTGATATTATACAAGTATCTTTTTTCCAGGCAGCTTTATTGATTTCTCAAAATGAGTGGTAAAGGGAGGTGCCTGTGGCTCAAAAGGTAGGGCGCTGGCACCATATGCCGGAGGTGGCGTGTTCAAATGCAGCCCCAGCCAAAAAAAAAATTAGTGGCAAAACGTTCTACAAAACAGCCAAATATAACATTTCTTGGTGGGCAAATACAGAATTTTAATAACTTTTATAATTTTACACAGTCAGATGAAGAAAATTACTGTTAAGTGACTTAAACTACTATTTAAGAATACAAAATTTAAATAGTTTGTGAAAAATTATCTTAAGGGAAATGAACAGAATAAGCTGATTTATCCTTAAAATAAATAAGTTTATCTTTAGAAGACCAAATTTGTCATTAACACCTTTCATATCAGAAAGAATTATAAAAACTGCCTGCTGAATCACAATCAACACTGAGGCATGAATAAAGGCATATTACATTTCAGTCATTTTGTTAGTGCTGGATTCAATTACATATGACACGTTATTCTACCCATACATTATAAAATACTCAAAGTATACAATTTTGTTGCAGTAAGGATATTTACTTTTCAGTTTTTATTGGTCAGTGAAAACATCTCAGAATGTATGTTCAGTAAGACTTATTATAATACACTTACATAGTATGTAAGTAAATGTTTCTTTTAAATGCCATAGAAGCTTACTTAGTTTAGGCTGGATTGCCTAATACCATCAGCCTGATTAATTCATGAAAATATTCATTTACCTAATATTTATTTATTTATTCTCTCACTATGTCACCCTCAGTAGAGTGCTGTGGCTTCACAGCTCAGAGCAACCTCAAACTCTTGGACTTAAGCAATTCTCTTTCCTCAGTCTCCCAAGTAGCTGGGACTACAGGAGCCAATTGTTAATTTTTAAGTTCAATCTGTATTTCTTTATATATTTAGGTAGCCTATATCAGATTTTCCAAAGAAAAAAATCCAGATACGGATGTTGGAGAGAAAGGCACAATAGAGGAAATAATTTTGGTTCAATCCGTAGCTGAACTAATAAGCACTCCTGAGTATTTTGTGCACACTACTGCACTAGCTTTCTCTTTCTA